TACAAGACATTTTTAAAGGAGATTTCATATATTATTATGCCATTATTAATTTTGAACTAGAAGACAACAAACTTTGAATGGTCCTATTGTTGTGAGGAGAATTTTTAGAAGTTGAAGTCTTATCTAATGTCTACTCCAATGTTGACTATTCCTTATGGTTCAGATGTGTTTCAGCATGGAAAGGTCATTGCATATGCATCACAACAATTGAAGAATCATGACACACATGATTTAGAGCTTGTAGCAGTTGTGTTTGCACTTAAGATACATATACATTATCTATATGGAGTTAGATGTGAGATATTTACAAATCCCAGAGTTTGAAGTATAACTTTACACAAACAAAGTTCAACTTGAGTCGCAGTAGATGTTGGGGTTATTAAAGACTATACTTTGGATATTCAGTACCATCCGGGGAAGATAAATGTGGTGGCAGTTGAATAGGAATGCTTCAGATAGTTTGAACTATATACTTACTCAACAGAAGAAGTTAAAGATTTGAAGAAACTGAAACTATCAGTAATTAATTACAATGATGAATATATGACTCAATTAAATCAGTTGACTGTACAATCTACTTTGAAAGGCAAAATAAGGATTCTTTAGTCAGAGAAAATATTGTTCTAAAAACTGAAACAAATTAAGGCAGGTGGTTTGAAGAAGAATGGTTTATATTAGGATGGTTTATTGAAATATAAAGGCAGGGTTTATGTTCCCGATGTTGATAATTTGTGAAGGGAAATGCTTAAGGATTCTCATTTATCTGGCTATACCATTCACCCAAAGAGTAATAAGATATATCAAGATCTCAAAAAATCAGTTTGGTGGCTAGGATTGATGAGGAGTGTAGTAGAAATTATGGTTAAGTGTCTTTCATATCAGTCAATGAGGGCAGAACATCAGTGTCCTTGAGGTCAGTTGCAACCTTTATTGATTCCAGAGTAGAAAAAGGATGAGATTGATATGAACATTGTAATTGGGCTGTCTAGATCACGTCACACTCATGATGCTATCTAAGTAATTATCGACAAATTGACTAAGTATGCACATTTCTTGCTTACATAACAAATAGATCCAATTGAGAAGTTAAACAATTTGTATGTGGAATACACCATAAGATTGCATGGAATGCCAATGTCTATTTTTTCCAACAGAGATGATGGATTTACCTCTAGATTATGGAAGAAGATTCAAGAAGCTTTGGGCACTATATTAACTTTCAGCGTAACTTTTCACACCACTTTTCACCATAAGATAGATGTCCAGTCAGAAAGGACTATTCAAACTATGGAAGATCTACTAAGGTTATTTGTCCTTGATTTTGGTGGAGGATGGGAATCACATATACCTTTGGCAGAATTTTCTTAAACTAATAGTTACGAGACTATCATTGTGATGTCTCCATATGAAGCTTTGTATGGAAGAAAGTGAATGACACCTTTATGTTAAGCGAAAACAAATGAAATAAAAATTATTAGAGCTAACTTGGTTGATGATGCTGCTAAGAAGATTAGAATAATAAGGTACAAATTACAGACAATGTAGGGTAGGCAGAAGAAGTATTATGATGTTAAACACAGACTAGTGCAGTTTGAAGTTAAAGAGTTTGTCTTTATTAAGGTTTGTCCTTCGAAAGGTGTGCATAGAGTTGAAAAGACAAGAAAATTAAGCCCCTGATATGTGGGTTCATATGTGATTGTGGAGAGGATTGAAAATATGACTTATAGATTGAACTTTACTAGCTCATATGCAAGTAGTGCATAATGTTTTTCATATTTATTCACTTAGAAAAAACATTGCAGATAATTTGTAGGGCGATAACACACTCAACGGATATCCAACCTGATTTGACTTATATTTAGAAGTCTGAAAGGATTTTGGAATACGATGTAAAGAAACTTCACAATAGAGAGATCTCATTTATGAAGATTTTATGGAAGTATGGATCAAAGAAAAATGCTAGTTGGGAGAAGGCTTCTTATATTTAAGAAAAATATCTACAATTTTTGCTTTTATATTAAACTTTTTTTGAAGTTTCAATAACAAAATGTTTATGAGGAAAGATTTTAATGTGTTATAAATAAAAAAAATAAATAAGGAAAAGAAATTTTGAAGTGACATGTGGAATAATCGACATTATTGTGGTTAGGCTTAAGTCTTAAGGTGATTAAGGGATGTCTATCTCTCATTTCAGAATTAGGGAGAGCGAGTTCGAAAGCAAGAGAAAGATAGATAGAGCGAGAGTTATGTCCTAGCCGATCGGTCATGGCGAAGGAAAATGAGAAGAAAGTGAAGAAAGCAACGATAATTAGGAAAGAGGAAGAAGGTTAAGAGGATTCAACTTGTGTATCTTTTCTTACCTGAGTTTCAACATCCAACCCAAGTTGAATGAGAGGAAGAAGAAGCCCGAAGGAGAATGGAGGATTGTTCAACCTTTCCCTGCCGTGCTAAGGCACTCGATCGGTCATGAACGTTAGAAGAGGGAGGAGATCATTTGCATTCTGTGCTCGAAAGAAGAGAAAGGAAAAGGCTGTGTGCGGGTTTGAGTGGAGTAGAAGCATTCATGCGAGAATAGGGGAAGATGGTCGCGGCTATGATGAGAGGTGGAGAAGCAGACCATGTGCTCAAAAGAAGAGGAACTTGATCCCTTTAGAGGGAAAAATTATTTCATACGCATGCGGTGTCCGATCTACACCGTCAATCACAGATCTCCACCATTGATCAAATTTTTTTTTTAAAAAAAGAAAAAGTTAAAAATGAGGCTCACCGAAATAGATCTTTGCGGTAATTGACAATGTAAATCGGACACTGCATGCATCTCTGCATGTGGGATCCGTATAGAATAATTTTTTCATTTGGAGGAGAAGAAGCACATGTGCTTTGGGAAGAGAGAGTCTCATGCGTACATATTAGGATTGTTGACCAAATATAAAATTTAGGTTTAAAATTTTATTTAATTTAAGTTTTCTAATAAAATTATGTGTGTGTGTGTGTGTGTGTGAGTAGTGAGAGAGGGAGAGAGAGGGTATGTTTATTAAATTAATGTTAATGCAATGTTTTATTGAATCATAACTCTAAATATAGGAATTTCAGCCTGGAAAGAGGAGCTAGTGAAGTGTGCAATTTATGGAGGAGGACATCGATTTGATCAAAGAGGTAAGTGAGAGTTTTAATTTTTTAAGTTAAATAATAAATTGAATTGTGTTTAAATTGTTTTATGATTGTGAATGAATTAATAAACATTTCTTCAATTCAATATTTGTCAATTAGTAATTGTGAGTTCTATTAATGAATGATAGGTATCAAGAAATTGATGAAATTTTGATTTGTAAGGCTTGGAGATCTAAATTGTGGACTTTATTAAAAGAAGAAAAGAAAGGTATGTTTAAGGTTTTTTAGTTCTCAAAATAATTAGCAGGAAAAATGTTAGTAATTGTTATTATTATGCTCTATGTCAAATGATTAAAACTTGAGGAGAGTTATCACATTGAAGTGAGTAATTAGTTTATTATTTGTATTAAATTAATGTTTTATTAAATGAATAATTGCTTTATTAATTGGTTTAAAAATAGTTCACTCATAACTTGCATTTAAGTTTGAAATTTTTTAAAAATGGGAGAAAAATAAATGACAAATGAAAGTATATTTTAAAGGATTTTAAATTGACATGAAATGAAATGTAAATGTTAAAGCCATATATGATTACCTTCAGATGGTACTAACAAGGGATGTGATGTAGCTGTACACGATAACAAAAATGATAAGATGCACATACAAGTGCAAATTTTAAGGGTAATTTGAGTATATTTTCAATGATATCTTCATATATATCGGTAATCATATTATGTCTCTTAAAGAAAAGGGTTAAAAATGATAAATACTTAAAATTGAAATGGAAATGGATACATTTAGAAGTAAAAGTTTATAGTTTTGTAAAATAATGAACCGTAAATTTTGATCATTCTTATATAATATTTGCACATGAATTTAACACATATTAAAATTATAATTACTCACTAAGTCAAAATTATCGTTTGAATTTAATGATTTCTTTCAGAGAAGAAAAAAATGTAGACTGTTATGTCTGACAGTAGAAACTTAGTTTATAAAATGAGGACGAGAATTGACAGGGACTGTTATGATGTTGTGATTGTAGTTTATTTTTACAATGTTTTCCTTTGGATAGTGACAGTGTTGTTTTGATTTAAATGTTTTACTTGTAAATTATTTAATTATTGTTGGATGATTTAAACTTCCTTATGCACATTTGTGATTTTTTTAATAACTCTTTATTATATTGAAAGTTTTAAATTTGAAGACAGTAAATCAAAATATTAATATCGTCCAACCACAATTTCAAACTTAGTTAATTCTATGTTATCAGGCAAGTCTGTTACAGAAATTCAAAACATTAGTGATCTACTTATAATCTACTCATTCGGTCTTTCAAAACTTATTGTTATTCACATCAATGTATTGCATATGAATAAACATCACTTTTACTCATGCCATCATATGAATTTGTATGATCATATGCATTTGAACAATTTTCCTTGGATCTTCAAAGCGTACTTCTCATTTAGTCTTTTATCAAGTGATTTCAGCTTAATACATTTATTATTAACACACTCAATTTTTTTCATACCTTGAGATATTGGAATCTATTTTTGTCACTTTATGTTGTCTTCTTGTTTGCTAGAGTTAGAAGGACACAACTGCAATCCTTTTGGGGAAAACTGAAAAAAAAATTGAGAGATAACTACATCAAGATATTGACACATGAGCACATAAATCTTCTCGCAATAGCAATTGATGACTTGAGCGCCTTATATTGTTGGTGAAGCCTTAACACTGATTTTGGCAGCAACTCACAAAGGTTGAAGCCTTTTGCAAATAATTTTCTATGGTTTAGAAGCCACCACAATAAAAGGAAAAATAATCTACAAAGAATTAAAAAATGATAATTCATATCATTAAAAAAATAATACAAATCACATATTAAAAAAACTTCAAATGCTTGATTTAATTAAAGTTCATCATAAGACATAAAATACAGGATAAACAAATGTCATATCAGCATTTCCTCAAACAAAAACACACGCTGCACATTCTCATTAAGGACCACTAATCAAAAACGAATCAAATAATGTGCTCAGTTTTACAAGACAATCAGGGCCTCACATCATTCAAAAAACATAAATAATGGCAAACATTGTTACAATTCAGCCCAAACTAACCTGCTAAATTCACTGGTGAATTTCTTTTCATTAAGGCTCAGCCAGGAGGAATATAAGTTATGTGAAGGCAGGATGAGATCAGCTCATAAGCAATTAGAAGATTTCAATTTCAAATATTTCACTAACGTCCAGTTTTTGGCCTTTTCATTCCACTGCTGTTAAATGGAGATAAACTGCCACTGGGGAGAGGACTATCTTCTCTTAAACCTGAGTTCAGCATCGCGAGCTCTCGGAGCTGTTGCCGCTTATAGAAATCCTGTGATTCGTCCTTCGGAAGAAAATAATAATTTAACTTCAATGAAATAATATCAAAAGATGTTGTAAATATTAATGTTTGCTTGTAAGCTAAAAAAAAATGATTATTATACTATGATTTAGGAGAGTTATGCAATATTTATGGTTGTTTAAGCAAGAATGTTATGAAAAATCTATTACATCTCAGCTAATGTCACAAAAATTGCAGTCATTCCAATCATTGAGATAACTTATCCTTAATTTATCTTAGTTAATGTATAAAAAAATAATTCTGTGCATCAAAATGAATATAATTGAGGCACTTGGATAATTATAAAACTACTTTAACAATTTAGTTTGGAAGATTTACATACATGCACACGATTCGTATGAATTTACATACTTCATACCTAAACTTTGATATTTACATTAATACCGCTTTACCAATGCATCAAAAGGTGTATTTCAGTTTTTAAAACGTTTATGATAGCAGCAAGAAAGATTTAATTGTTAGAAATGTAAAAATCAAAGTTTAGGACTTAGATATGTAAATTCATAAGAATTGGTAGAAAATGCATATTCAAGGAAAGATTTAGGCCAAATGATTAGGAAAAAAAAAAATATATCTAATATAACATGGATAGATGCCGTGTAGCAATTGTGCTTGATAAGTCTAACACTTCATACAACGCTCAATCCTTCGGCAGAAGAACATCGTAATCAACTAATTGCGCGCTTCAATCAAGCATAAAGAAACCAAAAAACAGGTAAAAGAATTGTACAAAGAGTAACTTCTAAAAAAACACATACCACAGGCTTGAGTAGCTCTTCAATAATTTCTTGTGCATGTCTCAGCCTCGCGTCGATTATATTCGCAGGCAACTCAGCCTCAACGAGGACATGTAGCGGTTCGCTTAAATGTTCATAACCTGGTCGGCCCCTTAGTTTTTCCTCCTTCAAAGCGAAAAAAAAAAAAAATGTAAGCAGAATGTTAAAATCTACCCATAAAAATAAAAACTTACAATAACGAGATTTCGTGATTTTTTTCTGAAAATGCACCCATCAATGTAGAAAACACAAAACAATTTGAAAGATCACACAAGAAAGATCACATAAAAAACATTGCATTCACGTGACTAAGGAAAGATGAGAATAAAGAAATTCCTGCTCTAAAGTAGCTTGAAAATGACCAGACTAGTTTCAAACCTCACACTAATATGGATCACTTCAAGGCTATCAAACAAAATAGGGGCTTCTACATTCCTACCACCCAATTCCTATGAATTTGCATATCTTACACCTGAACTTTATTTTTTATAGTTATAAAACCCAAATCTTTCATATCAAATAATTAAGAAATATCACAATTTTGACTTCAAAGTGAAATATACATTTTCATGCATAAGGCAGCATGTTTGTAAAAAATAAAGCTTAGGTGTTAAATAAGTAAATACATAGGAATTAAGTGGTATGTACGTAAATATTCCAAAGCCTGCACTTCCTTTACTATACTGTTTGTAAGAAAATGTTGCAGAATCACAGCTGTAAAATAGTATAGATGCCATTTTGTTAAAGCTGCAACACTTTCAAAAAATTGACTTCAAGTGTGTTGTCTTGTAGCTTTTATATAAAAGACTTCTAATCTTCTACAAAATAGACCATGAGATCATCAAATTTGCACTTTCTCTATTAGGAGCTCTTAATGCAATTAAATAACATAACTAAATCATCTTAAGAAGGTGCAATATGAAAATTTCAGTTGCCTTAGAGATATCATAATGTCAATTATAGAGCTTTTTTTTACTTAGATGAATAAAAGTAAATTATTTGATGGATAAATCATTCATTTCAAAGTATATCCAAGTGTTACTTTATTGCTTATTCTTTTATTATTTTCCAAAGCATGATGCACCCTTACCCATAGTATAAAATTTTCTCAATGTAGTTGACTGCTCTGATACAGTGGAATATTTTTCTTTTTTTCCATGCAGTCATGAATGCATGTTAGTGATTCTCATAGAGCCACATAAATATTGTCTTCCATTTAAATTTGTTGCACTTATCTCTTCTCCTCAGTTTTTCTCTCATGCCTAATTTTCCCGACAATATACAGCAGCACCGGAGCCTTAATCCCACTACGTGGGGTCGGCTACATGAATCCTTTTTCTCCATTGTGTCCTATTTAGTGTCATATTATCATTTAGTTCTAATAAATTAAGATCTTTTTTTATACAATAAGCCCAAGTCTTCCTAAGTCTACCTTTGCCTTTCTTAACATAAGTCAAATCTAAACATCTACTCTCCTAATCATATCACAGATGGTCGATGTTTAACGTGACCAAACCATCTAAGATAACTCTCTAATTTTGTCCGTCACTAGAGGTACACCAACCTTATCACGGAAATATAAATAACAAAAATAAATGGTGTTGACAGCTGCGTATTATGTCCAAAAATATTTAAGATTTCTCAAATTTTAACTTCAACTACAGTAGATTGTATTGAGCATATTCTCTATCCTTGCATAAACATAGAATACAAAAACTTAAAATGAAATGCTTTGGAAGCTATACAAAATGAACATTCACTTAAGTATTGCATGTACTTTCATGCAATGCAAGAACTTATTGAAAACATAATGAAAACAATTTTCAAATGTAAAATATTTTCATAAAAGGGAGCTATAACACCTGTCTATATATAATACCACGATCGCACAAGCATCCTAATATTACTTATCGGAGAAATGAACACAAAATATTTTACCTTGTCTGGATCTTTTATTGACCCTTTTCCTCTGATATAAACGCGACAACCTGTTGATACTTCCACGCGTTTCAGAGAGTTGCCTCTGGGACCGAGAAGGCGCCCGACAAAATTGAACTACAGCCAAGTGAAGGAAAGTTGCAAGCAGAAGCTCAAAAAACAATAGGCTGTCGCATAGCACTCAAATTTTTAATTTCACATCAAAAATAGCGCTATTAACAATTTAAAAAAGTGAAATACACCTTTTTCACACAAAAGTTTAAAGCACTAAAGTCTATGCATGTAAATATGTAAGTTTAGGTGTGAGATATGTAAATACATAAGATTCGTGTGCAACATATGTAAATTTTCGACAATAATAACTTCAATAAAGAAAGGAGCCTACATTGGGGTAGCCATCAACCGGAACTTCTAACCGCAAGAGCTTCTTGACAAAATAAGAACTTGGGGAAGGAGGTGCTCCCTGCCAATCCATTGACATTCCTTGAGGAAAACCCCATCTCTGCTGAAAAAAAATTTTCAATACATAATGAAGCTGATTAGGTTTCTTACTAGGAAAAATAAAGGAAGATTTACATACATACCATTCAATTAGTATGTATTTACATTTCTACACCTAAACGTGCCTTTTTAAAAATTGTGGTATTTTTTATGTCTTGAAAGATTTGGATGGTATAAATGTAAAAAGTAAAGCTCTGCTAGATATGTAATACATAAGAATTGCGTGGTATGTATGTAAATGCTCCAAAAATAAGAACTCAAAAGTTAAGTCAGTTATCAAAGGGGTAGAAAATAAACATAGGAACCAGGAAGAATTACCAAGTAAGAATTTCAATAGCACAGGAAATCAGTTTAATCCTAAATAAGAAACCTGAAGATGGCAAAAAGTTACGGACAACCAAGTCTTTACAAAAAAACACCTATTATACTTAACATCGGAGAAGACAATAGGAAAAAGAAAGCGCGCACTTCATGTGGAAAACAAAATTCAAGATTTTTTAAAATGTAGGAAAATGCAATATTAGATAAAAAATAACTACACCTCACAAAAAATCAGAGTAATTAATCTGGGCACATAATATGTATAAAGTGGCCCAAACATCTTAGGATGTAAGGTTTTCGAATGTAGATCTAGGATGTGAAGTACAAAATCATGCATACTTGTCACAACACAGCTCAAGGCTTAAAATTAACCAAATGGGAACAGCTAGTCGAACGATAGGAACTAAATTTTCTTATTCATTATAATTTAACAGACGAAAGAGTCACTAATTAAATTAAAATAGTAAAATTACATGCACTTTGTTACTGGTTGTCTGCAGCTTCTATAAACGTTATCTCTTCTAATGTTTATCTTTAATCACTTGATTAATCTAAAAAATTAGTGTAAAATAGCAATGAGCTAAATAAGTCGGTGAATATTTATACTCATAAACCACGATAATAAAAGAAAAAATGAAGCAACATTCATACCAGTCAAGTTTTTAATAAATTAATAAAAACATTTGATTTTATCCAACGAGCTCTACTATGTCAATAACATATCAATGTTATTCTATATACGTACAACTGTCACAGGAGCACCGTTCAAAAATTGTATCAATTAAAACAACAAAATCTATATATTTTCCATACACGTACACAAGTACCTTAATGTTTCATTACTAGTACCGTCAAAGGGTAACTCCATCATAGTCAGTCAAGCATATACAAACAATCAACATAATCACTTTCAATTCAACATATAATATAAAACACACACCAACTGCATGAGAGTAAGTGGCTACAATATTCATAAAAATATGACTGAAAAAAGAAAAAAATTCAATCAGAATAAAGCATGTGTAAATGTTATTAACTATAAAATAGTTGAGAATAAATAAATTATTACCATAGATTAAAAATACGAGTACTCACCTCAATGAAGAATAATTCGCCTTGACGTTGACTCATTTAAAATTTATTTATTACTTTAAATAAAATATTAACTTTTAAGTATTAAATTTTCATTATTAATATTTTTTTATTGTAATCATATATATATATATATATATATACACATATAATCCGTCATGTTGCGTTCATCTCCGCTGCTAGGGTTTGCGATTCTATGGCGATTCGGCTGATCCCTCGTCATGTCGCGTTCGTTCGCTGTCGTCACGGCCGGCGGCCATGGTGAGACTAGTAAGAGGCCCCGCTCTTACGCTAGCATCATTGCTGATGGTGTTCCTAACTTCCCCTCTGTCTTCTACGAAAATCTCGAGCTCGATTCTGTTTCTTCTTTTGTTCATCGTCCCGGCCGAAAAGGGGGAAAATTTGCTCTCTTCCTCTCTGATGCTGAGAACGTCGAACTCACTTCTTCTTGCCGTTTACATCTGGTTGGAAAGTTTATTTATGGTGTCCCTAAGTTGGAATTTCTTAGAAAACACTTTAAGCTGATGAAGCTCACGCGTGATTGGAAGATTGGGATGGAAGACACATTTTGATTCAGTTAGCAAACGAGGAAAACTATACTCGTTTGTTTGCTAGGCGTACGACCTGGTTTGAGAACGTTGGAATGAAGGTGTTAAAATGGTCTTCTAATTTTGATCCTCAAGTTGAGGCCCCGGTTATTCCTGTCTGGATTAGGTTTCCTTATTTGAAAGCCCATCTTTTTAAGCATAAAGTTCTTTTTTCTTTAGCGGCTATGTTTGAGAAACCATTGAAATTACATGCTCCTACTTATAACCTTACAAGACCCTCTATGGCTAGAGTCTTAATCGAAAGGAATGCACGTTACCTCCTCCTGATGAGGTCTGGATTGGTTTGGAGCATATTGGTTACTAGCAAAAGGTATGTTTAGAGCAACATCCTTCATATTGCAAACATTGTCTAATATTTGGACATGATCAAGAACATTGTTTCAAGTTAAATCCTGATTTGAGGAAAGAAGATGGGAGGAAACAACCGCAGATGCCTAATGGTGCGGCTGTTCGTTTTGTTGTCCCGGCTCCCTCTCCTTCTTTACCTACGAATGAGGCAGAGGGCAGGATCGAACAGGTTCCCTCTGAGGGAACAAATTTCCCTAATGGCATTGCCCCAAGTGAGATTACTATGCTGGTTTTAAATGATATGGAGCCTTCTAATATTCCTACTTCTTCCTCTCCTCCTCGTTGTTATCTCCCGAGATGTTGTTTCTGTTACTGGTATGGCAACAGGTGTTATTTCTGGGCAAGATCCTGTGATCCCGGTTATTGCTGATGGAGCTCGCCCTTCTTCGGCATCCCTTCCTGATACCTTCAATATAGAAAATAGTTCTCTCATTTCTAATTTCAATGATAATATCTCTGATATCTCGTTATATGATATTTTTAAAGTATTGAGGGAGGAATGACATGTACAAAAATATCGTAGAAAGAAAAATAAAGCTCAAAAGGAGGTTCAAAATATTAGTAATGGGAGTAATGGGTTAGAGATGAATCAATATTTTTCAGATGACAAAAATGGACGGACCTGACCTAGATCTTCTAGGAAGGGTAACATGTCTATTTATGTTTAATATTCTTATCTGGAATATCAGGAGAATTGCGGATCCTCAATCCCTTGGTAGACTTAAACTCTTGTTAAGGATCCATAAGGTGGATATTTTTACTATTTTGGAACCCTTGGTCGCCTCTCCGAATGATCGCATCTTGGGTAAATTCAAAATTTTTTTTTTGCTAATTGCTCTAACAAAATCTTGTTGTTTTGGCGTAAGAATGTTACAGTTGATATCATTGCTGATGATAGCAGTTTGTTCATACCCATTTTTCTATGGATGTGTTTTCTGGTTGTCTTACTTTTGTCTATGCTAGGACTTCCAATGCTGCTAGAGTTGATCTCTGGCACAAGCTTTTTGATATGGGCACAACTATTAATCAAAATTGGATGGTGGGAGGAGATTTCAATATGGTGATGCATGAATCTGAGAAACTTGGTGACAGGAGATTTGATTCCACCTTAACTAATAAGTTCAATGAGTCTTTGGCTCTTGCGGGTGTCTCCGATTTGGGATTTATCGGCTCTAAATTCACTTGGAAAAGGGGTATGCTTTTTTAAAAACTTGATAAATGTCTTGCTAATCAGCAGTGAAATACCTCTTATGATTTTTCTCAAGTTCAACATCTGTCCAGAATCGGATCGAATCATAGTCCTCTCCTTTTATCTTTTGATTATTTTAAAAAGTCCTCTACCTACCATTTTCGTTTTTTAAATGTTTGGGCTAACATGATGATTTCTTGAGACTTATTGCGGCAAACTGGAAATGCGAGGAGATGGGAAATGCTTGGTATATTCTTTGGAAATTACACAAGAGGGTGGCTGCTGCTTTGTGGCTGCTGCTTTAAGATGGTGGCTGCTGCTTTAAGATCTTGGAACTGAGAGGTTTTTGGTGATGTTCATGCTAAAAAAGCAGAAAAAAGGGTCAATATTCTTCAAGTTCTTGATGAAAACACCACTGATATCATTCAAGATTTACAGGATGCTAATAAAGAGCTGCTTGAGGCCTCTCTTTGGGAGGAGGAGCTGCTTCAATAAAAAGCGGGGGAGACTCATTTTACCCCGGGTGATAGAAACACTAAATATTTTCATGTTTGTATCAAACAAAGAAGAGCTAATAACATCATTGTGAGAATTAAAAACAATGACGGGCATTGGATTATCGGAGATGAGGAAATTGGGGAGAATGTTGTGCTTCACTTTTCTAAACTCTTTGAGGTCCATGAGACTTCCGGTTACATTGATGCCTCCTTGTTTGACGAGGTTCGACATCATATGGTACATACTGACCTTTGTGAAATCCCTACGACTGAGGAGATTTATTCCACCCTCCTTGAGATTAATTGTAATAAAGCTCCGGGGCCTGATGACTTTACTTTTGCTTTTTATATCAAATGTTGGAGCATTGTTAAAGATCATGTTGTGGCGGCTATACAAAGTTTCTTTAAAGGGGAAACCCCTGGAAATTACTTCTTGGCTGCTACTATTGTCCTCATCCCTAAGAACACTCAAAAGAGCTCTTGGGGTCATTTCAGGCTTATTTCTCTAACTTTTGTTATTTCTAAATTGATTAGTAAGACTTTGGTCAAACGTCTTCAACCTAATCTTCATAAGTTAATCTCTTTGAATCAATCTGCTTTTATTCAGGGGAGGGGGATTACCGATAATATTATGCTGGCTCAGGAACTCATTCTTGATATTCTTGATATTAATAAAAATTCTTGATATTGATAAAAAGTGTAGAGGGGGTAATATGATTACTAAACTGGACATTCGTTGGGCCTATTATTTGATTAGCTAGGATTTCATTTTAAAGATTCTTCATGCTCGTGGCTTTTCTCAAGAGTTTTGCAAAATTATAAATTCCTGTCTTCATTGTAATAAATACAGTATTCTCATTAATGACAAATCTCAAGGCTTTTTTAGTGCGGGCCGAGGGATTAAGCAGGGAGATCCTTTAGCCCCTAGAATATTTATCTTAATTTTTTA